GCCCCCCCGGGGATGGGGACAGCCACAGCAGGCAGCCAGGGGCCTGGTGTAAGTGTAGCCCCGGCTGGGACTGCAACTGGGCAGGTAACAGAGACCGTGTCTGCCAGCAGTGTTAGTCTAATGCTGGCTGGCGCTGCCAGCATGTCACCAGACTCGGTGATCATGGCTTCGGCAGGCACCGGCAGCCTGACGCCCTCAGGCCACGTGAGTGTGGTCTCTGCTGGAGCTGGGAGTGTGGCGGGCCTAGGAACCGTCACCCCGCTCAGGCCCGAGTACCCCCTGGTGTCAAGCTTGCAGAGCGAGGGCGACATGAGTGAGCGGGACGGAAGTCAGAGGGTGACCATGGCCAGTCCAAAGGTATCCACGAAAGGGATGTCATCGCGGAGGCACTCCCAGCGCAGAGAAGGCCAAGCTCGCAGACAGGCCGAGAAGGAAGGCAGCGGTGGCCAGAGGAGGTCATCCCGGCGGGCTGTGACTTCCAGGGAGATGCAGAAATCCAGCCACCAGCCTGGGGGAAGCCGCCACAGCCCATCTTCCCACAAAGCCACCAGCCGCAGCCCATCTGTAAAGGATTCCAGGTGAGAGGAGTTGCTTGCCAGCTGCTAGCTATGCATGCCCCTCTTTTGTGTCCCTCCAAAAAGAAGGATCCTGATGGAGATTTCATGAACATTGCCTAGAAAGGGTCTTTTCTTTTTCTAGATTGGGATTATCTCTATTACCATCGTTATTATCATTATTACCATTTTCTTCAGGGGGAATCTAGTAAACAGGACGTGAAGGGGGCAGTGGGGCTTCTCTCCTGAAACCTCCCAAGATCTTAATTTCACCTGAGCGTGAGCTGTTCCATTAGCTTTCGTCATCAGTCTAACTTTGGATGTTTTCTTTGTCTTGTCCCATGCTTCCAGGACCGCTCACAAACCAAGGAAGAATAAAGATTCAGCCAGCATCCCTCGTAAGGCACTTTCTGCTTGTCCTCTGTCCTTCCAGCTGATGCCATGTTACAGAAAAAGGGAGATGGAGGGGGGACAGAACCAAAGCAACTTGGTCTCTCCCTGAGTCCCCTTTGTCTCCCAATTCCAGTCACTGCCTCAACTAAGAAACTCAGCCGTATCGCCTCCTTGTTGCGAAGCTTCTCCCGCTCTATCCGAAAGCACCTCAGTCCTCGCCAACGTGGGGGGCACAACTGAGGCCTCTAAGGCCTCAGCCACTCAGATCGACATGAACA